TAATTAAAAAATAGTACTAATTTAAAGACATGTATCTCTCTAAATTCTTTGGCGTGGAATTTCATGGAATTTCTAAAGACTGAGAATTGAGCCAATCTTGAAACATAGTGGCTCAAATGTCAATCTTTAAAAATGAGATTTCATTCTTCGGAGTGAGATTTATATTAAATCTTTTTAGAAAGAATACATGATTCTAACAAAAAAGAATTTAGAATTAAGATAATAGAATAAAAAATCTAAAAAACATTAAAATATTGTTTATTATTAATAATAAATTTTAACATACAAATATATTAATAAACTTGAAACTATGGTATAAAAAAACCTATAAAGAAAATATATTGCATTTAAAAAAATTAAAGAATGTGACGATAGATGATTATTACTGCGGATTTTTTGGAACACATATTAATCTAACAGAACATAATAAAAAATTATTATGTACATAAGAATTAATTTTAATTCTATATAAATATATACAATTGCAGATAACACAAAAGTTGTGCTATTTTACATTATATGTTTTCAAATATAAAATTAGTTAATATCCTATTTACGATTACCTTATAACATCTAAGGAAAGTTATAATTAAAATATTACATGATAATACATGTTCTTTCCGCAAAATTTCATGGGTATAAAGTTAAGAATTCTCACCTCTACTAGTCATTTAATAACAGGAAAGCTTTAGCATAGTTTCTATGAACGGTCTGCCCTTAGAGAATCTTGACCTAGCTTGTGCATGGTTTTGTCGCGAACAAAAAGTTTTCACGACCAGGCTAAAATCTTCTTCTTTCACTGAAAATATCGTTAGATAAATTCCATCGACCGTCGCAAAGTTATTTATATATATGCAAAACAAATTTAAAAACTAGATTAATTAATAATGTAATCATAAATTTTATTCTAAAAAAATTTCTTTCTTATTTAATCTATTAGGATTTATTTATTTATTATATATGAACAAAATTTTATTGTATACATACAAAGAATATCGCATAGAATTCGCGCATACGACATGTACAAAGTGATTCTTCATATTAGAAACAACAATTTTTTCGGCTCGCGTATAAGATCTTTTATTGTTTCTCTATTTTAAAGATTTTATATTTATAACAACTGTTCATGATATATAAATATCATTATATTGAATATTTTTTAATTAATACGTTCAAAGCAATTGATTAAAAGGCTACAATTTCTAAAATAGAAAGTACCGTATAATTCTTTAAATACAAATTATTTTTAAAAATTTATTAAAATTTTTAATATTAATAACTTTTTTAATAACGGAAAAGAATTTTTATTTCTCCTTCACATCTTTTATAACGTTCATTTTCGAACATTCGATATTAACAAATCTTTCAAACTGTGAATCTATCTGTTCTCATTATGCTCGTAATTTGGTAGTTTGTCTTAAATTTAATGTTCATTTGATTCTACTCTCTAAATAACAATAACAATTACAATATAAGAATCTATGCTTGCATCAATCGTATTTTGTTGATGATTGTAGAAGTTACAAATATTAAAATAAGACTATGTAAATATTTATAATACTTAAGCCCAGTATTATAATACTCAAATACAAGAAGATATTAAAACTTATATTCATTAATGCTACATTAGATTTTAAATTAATTTTAATATTTTTAAAATTATATATGAGTTATACATATAGCTTCTTTTTTTATCTTACTTAAACTGAATTTTATAGTTGTTCATAGCATAGTTTCCAATCCTACAAAAAAAAAACGTAAGTAAAGCTATCCATCTATCTGCGCCTATCCGTCATAAAAATCTAATAAAGGTCAGAACTACAGGCTGACAGTAATATTTAAATACATGGTAGTATATCGATTCGATGAAAAGTTATAGTCCAGAACTGTTCAGTCTTCGTGCAAACCTGGATCTGTGCACGCAATTGTTTTCGCGAAAAAACGAATACTTTATATATTTATTAATTTAGAATTACAAAAAGAAGTAATATTTATAAACACATTATAAATTACGTGAATATCATATATATCAATCGAACAAATTGATCTATTTTAAAAACAAATAATGCCCGTATTATATTATTTTCCTCTGAGTCCACCTTCCCGAGCTGTCATGCTTGTGGTAGAAGCAATAGGGCTCGAAATGGAATTAGTAGTATTGAACACAATGGCTGGTGAGCATTTGACACCGGAATACGAGGAGGTATGAAAAATTAATAGTGTTTAAATATTACTCAGTAAAATATTTCTATTATTTTAGATAAGTGTTATATTAATTTCATAATTTAAATAGAAAATATTATTAGAAAACACTATATTTTTTATTATTAGAAAGAGCATAATTTTATTTTTAGTTGAATTAACAAAAGACAGTTCCTTTTCTAATTGACGATGATCTTAAAATATCAGAAAGGTCTGTAGAAGCGTCTTAATAAGTGTCACGTAGCTCATCTTATAGTATATATATATATATAT